ACGTTACGAAGATTGATCAGGTTGATGGGACTAACTTAAAGTGTATGACGCACGATATGCTACCCTTACGCTCTGTTTAGTCTGTAGACTAGCGTTTAACTTATAATATATGACACGTCATTGCAGAAAAGAGCCTATGCATATTGTTTACAACAGGTAAGGCATATGACCAGAGAACCAAATATTATTGGTTCTCTGGTCATAAAACAGGTGAATTATCAACCAGGAAAAAAAATAATTATTCTTTACCTCCTACGTTCAATGATAAAATATTATGAGCTTTATGACAAAAAGTAATAAGATAGGAACAGCCACACATTACCGAATATCACTATATCACTAGTCCTATACAAATCTGTCTTACTGGTCAGTCTGAGAATATTCAAAAAGGAGACATTATAAATCTTATGAAGTTAAATAATACATGATAATTTTACAATATCATAGGTTTCTCGAGGTGTGGCACTGTCAAAGGCTTACTAGGGACATATCGCAATATAAAGATCTAGGCTAATGTGAAATTTCGAAATGTTTTAAGACAACGAATAAATAAAATAATATGAGAATGCTGGTAGATTTTTGTTTCAGACACAAAATCAGAGATTTATTGAAATATTTCGACCAGATTAAAACGTGTGGTGACATTTCAGTACTGGGCTCGTTACCGTGGTCTGAAGCTCACAATAGATACGTTGCAAGAAGTTAAGCCACTTTCATTTATCAATAATTAGTTGTAAAATGCATAAATACGTTCTATAGTGGCATGCTTGGAGAATCCGTCTTTTAGCTAATTACATAAATATAGACGTAGCTAGAGAAATCAGCCACTAGAGGCACAAATAATTTTGAAAAATTCAGGCCAAGTTACAAACTCGAAGTTGATTTCAATTTCATCTGGTAATCATTGAATATTGTTTAGTTCTTCTTTTATTTTTGGCTACTTTCACCAAATTACGCACATGCGCGCTCATGTACGAAAATAGGCACATGCGCGCGCATGTACCAAAATAAGCACCTGCACGAAATTAAGCACCTGCGCGCGCATGTATCAAATTACGCACCTGCACGAAACTAAGCACCTGCGCGCGCATGTATCAAATTACGCACCTGCACGAAACTAAGGACCTGCGCGCACATGTACGAAAATAAGCACCTGCGCGCGCATGTACCAAAAAGTGGTGTTCTATGATATCAATATAGTAATTTATGATTTTTTTAGTTATTCAACTGTATGGATAAAACCTAAAAAAATAAGATTTGTATTAAACTGTAGATTATTATTCAAATTTTAGTGTTACTATTATTAAATTTTTTAATTTAAAAGTAAATATTAAAAAAACTCAGTTAAACATTGATTTTTGTGTGTCATATGGTATGTTGAATACAGCCCTGCTTCCAATTAGAAGTTTGTGATTTTTGCACTTTCTTCAATATATGACATGTGAATAACTGATTGACATCTCAGGATGTCCCTCTAGTGGTTTTCTCAGCCATTATAAAATGTTGGGAGGCCCTCTCATTCTTTCGAACCAAGATTTCAAGCAGGTAGGTTGTGTATTTAGTCTGCTCCAAATTTCATATATGTTAGACCAAAGTACAGCTTTGTTTGGGATTTCGTGCAAAGCTACACGAGGGCTATCTGCACTAGCCGTTCCTAATTTAACCTTGTAATACTAGAGATAAGGAAGCTTTTCATTACCACCCACTTTTGGAATACTCTATTACCAACAAATAGCGGGATTGACCGTCACATTATAACGCCCCCACGGCTGAAAGGGCAAGCATGTTTGGTGGAACGGGGATTCGAATCCACGACCCTCAAATTGGGAGTCGAGCATCCTAACCAGCTGGCCGAAATGCAGCTTAGTTATTTAGATTTAATTTATTTAATTATAATTTATTCAACTGTATACATAAAACCTAAAACATCTACGTGTGAAATTATAAAATTCTTAGAAACCTATGTCAAGCAGCAACTGAGTACAGAGGTCGAAACTAGAAGAGATAATTGTTTGCTTCTATGTTTCGAGAAAATTAAGTTTAATAAGTTATTTCTAAATATTATTAATCCATATACATATATAATGTATAATAGTTGAAATGTTACCGTATTTTACTAAATACTAGTCTGCTAAAGCCTAAGGATCATCTATATATTATTGAATACAGTTCATTTCCTAATTTTTTATGTTGGTTACGAGATCGGTCAAATCTATTGAACCCTTGAGATTCGTTAGTGAAAATAACATACAATATATAAATAAAATATAAAGTTTTTCTTTATGAAACGTTTGATAACTATCTGGACATTATATACATTTAGCATTTGAAAATTATCTGATACATATAAATATTTTTAATCTTAAAATGAAAATTACTTTGCATGTTGGATAGGTAACATGTGAAAAGAAGAAAAAA